TACTAGTCTATTTAGTAGTAGAAACACAACCAGCTTACTTAGCAGTGCAGTCATTACTAGTCTATTTAGTAGTAGAAACACAACCAGCTTACTTAGCATTGCAGGCATTTCTAGCCTATTTAGTAGTAGAAACACAACCAGCTTAGTTAGCAGTGCAGTCATTACTAGCCTATTTTTAGTAGTAGAAACCAACCAGCTTACTTAGCATTGCAGGTATTACTAGCCTATTTAGTAGTAGAAACACAACCAGCTTAGTTAGAAGTGTAGGCATTACTAGCATATTTAGTAGAAACACAACCAGCTTATTTAGCAGTGCAAGCATTACTAGCATATTTGGTAGTAGAAACACAACCAGCTTACTCAACAGTTCAAACATCTCTAATTTGTTTAACACTAGAAACATAACAAGTTTACTTAGCAGTTGCTACATAACTAGTTCATTTAGCACTATGGACATAACTGGTTCATTTAGCACTATGGACATAAACACCTTACTTAGCAATGCAGAATAAATCATATTACTAAGCAGTTAAGACATCACTAGATTATTTAACACTCTGGACATAACCAGCTTATTTAGTAGTGTGGGCATAACCAGCTTTATTAAGAAATGCAACATAACACCTTATTAAACAATGCAAACATATCTACCTTATTATGTATTGGAGACGTAACTTGTTTATTAAACAATACAGAAATAACAAGCTCATTAAATACAGAGAAACAACCTGCCTATTTAACAGAGTACATACAATTTAATTAAATACTGAATGAACAAGAAAGTGCTAAATAACGAATTAATGATATTCAAGGAAGAAAAAGGAAAGAGTTCATAAATAGTTGAAAAGCTTCCCATTAGCGAGCAACAGCTCTCAAGAATCATCAGTTACTGTTCATCGTTATCTCCACCAAATGATCAACCAGAAAGCCCTTGGTAACATCAGTAAAGATATTATATTCTACATCCTTAAAAGCAGCAACCTACACATAAGAGGTCAGCATTTACCAGAGTAAGTGATCTCCAGTGCTCAACTCAATGAATTTTGTCACTGACTGCTGATCAGTTCTGGACACATTTTCAGGTTTATTTGGAATGTGTTTCATTTTTTTACGAGAACTATATCATGGTTTAGTCGTTTGTGCTTTAAGCAACATGAACTCGTAAATTCGAAATGATCGTTTATTTTCGAAATAACTTCCGTAAAGTGAAGTAAATACAAATCTAATTTAAATGTGTAGATAAACTCTGTCTAAAACAGAAACTTGGTTATACTTAAGATAATGTAAACGTTATTCTACATCAAAATTAGCATATTACCTAGAGAATGTCAGTTTACGATATGCACTTACTTCAAAGTTTGTTGTTGGTTATGCATTAAAGTATTTAATTTAATTATAATAGCATTTTTATTTGAATGTTTAATGTTCAAATATTTTTATAAACTCGTTAACACGTATCTTGTACCGAAAATTATAAATATGTCATTTATAGTGGTTTAAAACTAACAGGACGTTTCTCTATCCATATTTCTAATAGAAACTCAAAAGCAAATAAACAATAGCAGAAGCGAGATCTGATCCCTTTCTAAGTTAATCATAAATAAAGTCATTGACAACAAAATGCTATTCCTTCGCTGCAAAGGATATCAACTTAAATGTGTGTCGTTTCTGAATGCTTATCTTGACAATATTCGAACTTATTTTTGTAAGCAAAGTATTTGGTAACATTGCTTACAAGATTGTAGTTAGTTATTTTCCCGAAAGGGGACCGAAGGTTGCCTGGAGGTGTGATCTGTTTTGACCACTTGCACCACTATACCGTAGTGTTGTATGTCAGTCAGTCAGTAGACTCTTAAATAACGTCACCTAAGGGACTCTTAACGTTGCAAGTTGTACTGTCGTGACGTCATAAAAGCGTGCGCATGCCATGAGTCACGAGAAGAATTATGCGCTCTGTAGACCAAAACACAGCATGAAATATGAACTTCAAAAGCAAGAAATGCAAATATTTGTTACTCTTAATTTTGATTTTATTTACTCTTGAAACAGAACACTTTCTAGGACCATGCCGAAGTACATCCAGTAGTACTGCCATAAATGAAAACAGACACACTTTGTTAACCTTACGTTAATTTCTTTTTTAGGCAGTTTTATCCACAACTGTTCATATAAGTAATTTTTCGGAATGAGTCATTTTAAAGGTGTTATTCTTAAGGACAGAATACCATCTGTTATTTACAGGTTCACGTTTCTTTGCTGCACAAACGAATGCTTTGTAGGCTCCATCACCAGGTGATTGTCGACCTATATTAAATAATACACTCTATTTAAATCTGGGAGTGCAACCAGTACTGCTCAGCAAGTTCTCAACACAATACGATGTCGCTATGTTAAAGCCGACAATTTATTCACAGTTGAGCTGAAGATAAGCAGCATCTAAGTTTAGTGATTATTAATCTGAAGCCAGCTTTGAACAACAAAAATTCGGCTTTTCTGAAAGTTCTAAGCTTGTTTGTTTTTTCAGCTTTGCCTAAAAATGTAGATGCTTTTTTCTTATTAAACAAAACGTAGATGTAATCTATTTATTAAACGGTCTGGACACAACCACCTCAAAAATCAGTAAGATTAATCCACCATAATATACACAGTAGTTAAGTCTTTTTAGTAAATATTTCTAGACCAACCAGGTTTAATAAACATTGTAAACAAATTGTAAGTAAAAGGTGTAAAATAATCTGACGCAACGTAAATAAACCTACTTATTGACAAAGCTTCTAAATAAATAGTGTAAACATAACGTGGTTAATATACAACATACACAAAGCCTTTTTAATAATTAAACTCTGTATACAAACCTTACAATATATACATTTCTATGCGTATATAGCCATAACTAATTTTCTTGTTTTGAGTATAAGGGCATTGAATGCTCACATATATATTTTCGCGCTTAGGTAATTTCAAAAATATATGATATAATCTTGCTTAATTATCAGATCCGTACGTCAAAGTCTGGCTACATCGGGGAGATAAGCGGATTGAGAAAAAGAAGACTCGAGTACATAAAAAAATACTGGACCCTGTTTTCAACGAAACTTTTCGGTTTGTTGTTCCTTGGGAGCACATCCGGGAGACCTCACTCGTGATCACCGTCATGGATTTTGACACCGTAGGAAGAAACGAGGTGATCGGAAAGATAGTTCTCTCTTCACGAAGTGGCCCAACGGAGACCAAGCACTGGGGAGATATGCTGAGCAAACCTAGAACATCCAGCTCCCAGTGGCACAGATTGAAAACGTTTTAACTCTTCTGCTATTGTACCGCAGGTTTCTCACTTGATTTTGGGTTGAAATGGATGAGAACAAACGATTTTATGGAGAGTTTTGTTAGGATCTCTGCTATCGAGACTATTCCTTTAAGTTTTAGCTAACATGTTTTCGGAAATAGACTAAGTCAACAGCAGAGGTTTTAAGCTATATGTACACTTAATTGTATAAAAGTATTCCACGTTAGGTAGTAAAACTTAAAACATGTGGTAGGTTGTTCAGCTTTAATCTTACTTTACATCAAATGCTATATGCATCGTGTAGATAGAAAGTGGTATCGACGTTGCTTTTGTGCTATAGTTTCTATATATATTATCCAGAAACTTTGTAGTTGGTATAGTGGTATTTTCAAATTGTGTATTTTTTCTCAGGAGATTAGGGTGGCTTAAATTATTGTGCATCTTATATCGTGTATAACTGTTTCATTAAGATGTTTGGAAAACGATGAATTTTCGATTGTAAATTCACAGAAAAGTGATTGGTCTTGTTTATTTTAAAAGTTTACATGAAATTTAAGTAATATGCGTTGTTATTCAATATGTTTAAGGAAGTTAGGAAAAATTATATCACGAAGGTTTAATATATAACAAAACATGATTAACTGTCCCAATGAAAATTATATAGACTTGGCTAAAAAAAACAACCAAAAAAAACAACTCCAACAACAAAAAACACGATGGTGCTCTTACCATTTAGCAGTTTAAAAACTGTGGCTCTCTGTTAATTCCCTGGTAAAATACACTACAGGGTATCGTTTTCAGTATAACAGCTTATACAATAATCCTGTCTTTGTTAAATCAAACATATCCTTGTTAGTTTGTAGTTAGACACAAAGTTACACAATGGGCTATCTGTGGTGTGCTTACCACGGGTATCGAAACTCGATTTACAGCATTATAAGCCTTCGGACTTACCAGTGAGCCACGGGAGGCTTAAATATATGCGTGCTATATAACTATACACAGCGAGGTCACAAGCAAATAGACACCACCTTTTCAGAAACAAATGAAATTTTTCAGTCATATTCACATGAATTGATATATTTATAATCTAATTAATATCTAGTAGATCTTTCTTTCGCTTCGTGGAGTTCGTTGATCCTTTAGGGCATCGTAAGAATCATCTCGTCAATTTTAGATTGTGGGATTTTCGCTCACTCTTGCTTCAAAACTTGGTGTAGATCGCTCTTCGAAGTTGTTTTTTTTTGTTGTTGTTTCTA